AGCATGACTCCAATCACACCTGGCACTACCTCACAAGAGTGTAGGGGTTTTGGCCAGATTCATTCTCTTGACCTGTTTGAGAGGTCAGCCGTTATCAGATTGACTATTGTAGTGCTCAGCGCCTATGTTCAAATAAGTTATTTTACATAATAATGTCCCCAAAGTGCAAGGGTAGTGGTGCTGACAGTCTTATTACAGTATATTATTTATTTTCTCATTGTACTATTAGTTATTGTTAACTCTTACCCTGCCTAATTTATAAATTAGACTTTATCATAGCTATCTATGTATAGGAAAAGAATATAGTACATATAAGATTTGGCACTAGCTGAAGTTTCAGTGCCTTCTGGGGGTTTTGGAACATATTTCCCATGGATGGAGAGAGAACTACTGTACACATTAAATGGTAACAGCAAGTTATTTATATTCATATTTTCTTAAAACCTCTGCAAAGGTCCACATATAATTCCATAATGGTCAAAATAACCATGATAGGAATGCTTAAAAAGTTCTGTCACCACAGAATAGACTCCAGGACCTCAGCAAGTAGTCAGGCCTTGGACCTGTGGTCTACATGACCTCTGCCCATCTCCCCATTCAGCCATTTGCTATTCCTGACACTTTCTTAAATAGGTGTCATGTTTTAACAGCTATATGCCATTTTATTTCCCTACAGTGTCCTCCTCCCTCTTCCCTACCCTGCTTCCTGACTAGATTTATGTGTCAGGAAGCGTGACCCATTTCCTGGAAAGACCCCACGCACACACCTCCCAACCATCCAAGCAGAGCTGACCATTTTCTGCTCCCTCCTACCCTGTGAGCGAACCACTTTTGTTTTTTGTTTTTTTTTTCATTTTTCTTTTATTATTCATATGTGCATACAAGGCTTGGTTCATTTCTCCCCCCTGCCCCCACCCCCTCCCTTACCACCCACTCCACCCCCTCCCGCTCCCCCCCTCAATACCCAACAGAAACTGTTTTGCCCTTATCTCTAATTTTGTTGTAGAGAGAGTATAAGCAATAATAGGAAGGAACAAGGAGTTTTGCTGGTTGAGATAAGGATAGCTATACAGGGCATTGACTCACATTGATTTCCTGTGTGTGGGTGTTACCTTCTAGGTTAATTCTTTTTGATCTAACCTTTTCTCTAGTTCCTGGTCCCCTTTTCCTATTGGCCTCAGTTGCTTTAAGGTATCTGCTTTAGTTTCTCTGCATTAAGGGCATCAAATGCTAGCTAGTTTTTTAGGTGTCATACCTATCCTCACCCCTCCCTTGTGTGCTCTCGCTTTTATCATAGCGAGCCACTTTTGTATCTGGCATAGTACTGTTGATGTGTTTACACTTCTCTCCCATGAGTCATTTGGGGATCAGGCCAGGTTCCTAATCATGCTTGTTCATTCAGCATGCAGCACACATTCATCCACAGTCATGGATAAATGTTAATGAGACAAGTGAGTGAATGAATGAATGAGTCTATCTGAACTCGAGGCTCACATTCTTGTACAAGATCTGTACCCAAGGGCCCCCATAGGTGCCCAAATACAACATCCCCCAACTGAAGCCCACCATCTTCTTCAAGGTACCTCAACTCCCTGCCCCTCATAATCAGTCCTCATTCTCTCCGTGCATGTCCATCTCTGTGGCTGGAACCTCCACCCCTCCGGTGTCTTTTTTCTCTCACTAGGAGCCCCTGGGTCTGTCACTTACTTGGCTCTTGTCTGTTTTCTCTTCTTTCCATACCTGCTATGCTGCCTCTCTCCTTCTCACTTAGATATTGCCCACAGTCTCCTCACCCCACCCTGCTAAAAACTCCTCAATGACCTCTATTTTCCCCAGGGAAAAGTAAAAACTCTTTTTTGTTTGTTTGTTTTGGCACTTGAACTCAGAACCTCACACTTTTACCACTTGAGCCATTCGCCCCGCCCCCCAGTCAAAACTCTACCCAGGCCTATGGGGCCCTGTAAGATATAACCCTCTGGGGCTCCGGCCTGTCTTTCCAGCTTCATCTCTCCTCCATCTCATGGCTTTCTTCCTTCTCACGAGCAACCTGAAGACTTCTTTCCTGCCTCTGTGCCTCTTGCATTTGTCTAGATCCCTTTTTGAGAACTCTTCTTTCTCTAACTCATTCATCAAACCTTAACTTAAAAGACATTCTTCCAGGAAACCTTCCCTTCCTCTCCAAGTCTCAATTAGGCCCTTCCTATAACTCCCTGCACTTCCCCCAGCATCGCCTTCTCCTGTTGTATTTAATTATTCACTTTCTCCCTCAACACTATTAGCTGTATGTGAATGGTGGCGAGGTCAGAGCCAAGCCTGCGTCTTCATGAGCTTTCCTCCAACAGCCAGCAAAAGTTTAGTTCTTAATTAGCAAATGGATAGATGGAATTTTACTTTCATTATTGCCCATGCTAATTTAAACTTCAGGGACCAGACAAGACATCTGGCTCTTCATTTTATAAAGTCAGGGAAGGGGAACAAAGATGGAACAGACAAGTCTCTGTCCCTGTGGCTTCACGTAGGGAACGACATCCAGGAAGGGCTCTGAAGAGGGAAGGCTACAGTGTGGGGCCTTTCCAGTGCTGCATTTTCTGATTGCCTTTCCGAGTATGCATAACCAACTTCCCCCATGGGTCATGAGTTTTTCCAGGACTCACACGAAGCCACCCAAAAGAGTAAAGGAAGTTCCCTGTATGTTCCTAAAAGCCACCTTCAAAATATTTTCAGAGTTCCTAAGTTATAGATGCTAGGACAGAAAGTTTGGATGTTGTTCATTTCCCTATGGAGATGCTACTGGATTGGGGCTCATGATGGTTCCTTTCTTGTTAGGACCAGAGAAAGAACAGAGGCATTTAAGTCAGGAAGGGCTCCAAACGTCATGATTGTCTGAGTCAGGGCAGGGAAGCCAGAAAGCAGCTGGGTGAGCCGGGTTGGTGTTATGGATGGAAGCCCTGATTAGCAAATATCCCTGGCCCTACTCCTTCCTCCTTCCAGCTTAGTGACTTTGGGCTTGGTCATGTGACCTGTGTTGGCCAATAGAATGTGAACAGACAGGATGGGACCATACTTTTGTGTGGCTCTTGCTTCTTATTTTCTTTTCATTCCTTATGAGAAGAATATTCTCCGATCACCACAGCACCTTTAGCTCCCCACACTAATGGTCACTGAATATTAGTTTTGGACAGGTTTAGTTTGAGATATCTCATAGAGATCTGAGCAGAGGTCCTTTGGGATTGGGCTGGAAATTTACATTGGAGTCAGTATACATGCATGGTAATTAAGTCTTGAGGCAGATGTGTTCACCAAGATGTGAAGAGAGATGGAAAAGATGTCCACTGATTAAGCTTTGGTTTCCTCCAATATTTGGAGGTTGGAGAAATAAGAAGGAATTAGCAAAGTACCAAAAACATACCAGCCTGAAAGACAAGCAGACAACTAGGCCACACTCATCATTCCTGGGAGCCAGATAGAGAGATGGTTCAGAGGTGAGAAAAGTGGTCAAATGTGTCTAACACGACTGCTAGCTAATGATGGAGAACTGATCTGTTGGTTTGGTGACAGTGTCTTTAATGAGAAGATATTCTGTTGAGTTATAGGTACAAAAACATCAATGGAAGAAATTCTGGGAAGAATAAGGGGGCGACATTTACAAGTGTAGATGGCTCTTATCAAAGCTTTGCTCATTTTTATGAAGGAGAGAAATGGAGAGAGCCAAAGGAGGAAGTAGTAACAAAAGATTTTTTAAAGTTGGAATAAAACATAATATTTTGAATACTGATGGAGAAGAGAGAAGACAGTGAGAAAGCAGTAGAGATGGGGGGTGAGGAGAGTTGGTTCATCCATTATAACAGGGAGAACATCAAGCAAACAGGTTCACACGCAAGTAGGCGAGATATGGGGAAGGGGAGCTTGCAGACATTCTCTTCTAGTTGCATCAATTTTCTTAATGAAACAGGAAGTCTGCTCATCAACAGAAAGGACCATGTGGGAGGTGAAGAACAAAGTATGACAGAGTTACCCAGGGCAATCGAATAACTGAATGAATGGGTCAAGGATTTAGAGCTTGCAGGATGGTGAGCAGTGGTTGCTCCAAGCACTTTGCACCTGCTACCTAGTAAAGCCTGACAACAACCTCATAACAGTAGGCGCTGTGATTTTCCCTATTTACAGATGAGGAAATTGAAATATAGAATGGTCAAGAAACTTGTTCAAAATCATATAGCAAGAAAGTGGTTAAGCTAGGATGTGAACATAGGAAGTCTGGTTCTAGTATTCAAATGCTTAACCTTTGGTTAGGTTGACCTAGTTTAACATATGCCTGACATGGAACTGAGCAAGGTGGAGTAGAGGTTGGATTATAATGTCTATGGTGTAACCACTGGGGTCTAGCTCTGTACTGCATGCCTTTGCAACAGTTCTGCAGCAAAATAACCAACCCCATTTTGCTGATGAGCATATTGAGGTCCAGAAAGATTCAGTTGCTTATTAAAAGTTATAGAGATGAGAAGTGAAAAAAGTGAGTTTCAAACACATGTTGGTCCAATTCGAAACCCTGTACGTGATGCCAAAGGATGATCATGATATGTGAATGGGTCTGCCCAGCTAAAATGGACTTCTCTGCTAAATACATCGAAACTTTCCCTACCTGAGGCTGAGATCACTGGGAACCTTTATCCTGAGCAGGTGAAGAGCTGATCATGTCCCTTATGCAGGAACAATTTTAAAGAAGGGAACTTTGATAGAATGATGGCTGTTTTCCTGACCATTTTTGGATGTTTGATCCTTAAGGTGAAGAGGAGAGAAACAGAGCTGAAGCAAGACTCTTGGAATTTTTCTCTTAATCAAAACTATAACCTTACATCACAAATGCATTTATTCTACCTTTACAAGCATTTCCAAAGAAACATTTTTTTCAAGAAAGCATGCTCATAACACACTACACTGAACAGCTACCCACTTCCTCAAAATGCAAGGAAGCAGACAGTTAAAAAAAAAAAAAAAAGCCGCGAGGCAGAGTTGTTTATCACGACTTCGCCTTAGTAAAGCCTGAGATTCTTTAAAACAGAAGCTCTGCTTCCCATGACGCAGAGCGAAGTGTCAACTGGGATATTTCTGGTAAAACTGAAAGCAAGAAAAGCGGGTGCCAGTCCCTAGGGGTTTGTGGGTGGGAGTGAGGGGTAGCTTGGGTGCCATTCTGAAGTGACAGATGGATGGACCTTTCATCTGAGAGAAAGGAGGAGACACATTGGCAAATCAAGCTCAAACCTAAGACTGCTTGTGAAGCAATCTTAAGGAGGGAAAGACAGACACAAGTCAAAAGGAAAGATCGAAAAGGCAAGAAAGGCACAAATTGTAGCAGACTGACTGCTTCACCAGCTACTCACCCAAACCGGAGGCAAAATGTCCTTAAAGTTACCAAGGAACTGGGATTTCAACCTGAAAGCAGAGGCTGCGAAAATAGGTATGGTTGGGTCCAGCTCTTTTCTCTGCTTCTGTGGTTCTTATACTGGAGCACTCAGCATTTGCATGATGGTCTGCAGGGAGCATAGTCTACTTCAAAACCAGAGCCTGCAGTAAGTCTGAGTTTGGGGGAAAATTTGCATTCAAGTTGATCTGTTGACTCAAGGTTTCCAAATGCTGGGAGAGGGTTCTCTTTCATCTGGAGGTAACTGTGGAATGGAGCACCTTGGTGTGTGGAATATAGGATGGTCTTAGGCTACATATCAGGCACAAAACTGAGGTTTTCCCTATATTTCATGGTAGGGTCGATTCCCTTTGGTTTGAAACTCATCCATATTTTGAGTGGTTTTCAATAGGAGCACAAAGACTTCAGTCTTTTGATGTGCTCTATCCATGACTAAACTCAATGGTGAATGTCCTGTTTCGTGAGCCCAGGGGTCAAGATGTGGCTATCTGTAGCAAAAAGCAGACAAGGTATAATAAAGAGAATTTTAAAGGAACAGAATGGGAAGGAACTCAGAAGAGTTGAAAAAGAGAAACATTTTCAATTCGTTATCTTTAAGGGATAATTCTGAGGTATTCCGGCTTTTAATTCATACCCTTTACCTCCAATGATCATGGTGATACATTAGTTTAAATCTAGTATTTAATTGTTGTTATGGTATTCTTTATACAGATATCGTCTATTATTAAATTGATTACAGTAATATAGAATAGAGAAAATTGAACTAAAAGTGATTGCCTAAGTAATATTTACATATAATTTTAATATATAATAATAAATAAATGTAAATGTATAAACACATAGTGAGATAACTTTCTTGATAATAGACACAGGTAAGTGTTAAGGTGTTTGTAACAACATGGAAGAGTTTTGCTTGGAACAAAGGTTAGCTTGGACCCCTAATGGTGGTTGATTACCGCTAAAATGTGTAGTCCACTGAAAATTCACAAATGAAGAGTGTTGATGAAGATCTGAGAAAGGAGTTGAAGGAAAAATAAGATTAATTTATCTTGGTGGCCAGAGAGGACTGGCATTCCCTAACCAAGCTGGAATCATTAACTGTTGAGCTCAATTCAGAGAACAGGTAATGTTCATGCTTCTTACATAAGCAAGAGCTTTTTCTCTTAACCATCATTGCAAATACACTAGGCTCGTGCTCATTCTATGCCATCACAATTCATTTTCAAAGCAAAACTACTATGACTCTGTTTCTTTGAAAATGTCCTGATTCTCCTCACATAAGGCCATCTTGCTCTCTCACCATCTGTATTTGAATAGGTACTTAGGTCTTTCCTTCATTTTGAAAATAAGAAAATTAATAGTTAAATGATTTTTTCAGAATGTAGACCATTACTATATTAGATTCTCAAGCCTAGGGTTAAGTTGGGTAGATTTCATGGTAGTTAAAAGTGTGGCACCATGGATAGCCTGCTGCAGGCAAGTCAAGTGCCAGCCAAAAACACAGATTCCTGGGCACCATCCTGATTTATGGCATCAGAATCCCTGGAAGGAGGCCCAGGATTCTGCATGTCAATAAGCACTCACCTGATGAAGAATGCTGCAGGTGCCACCGGCTACATGCACGAGCCTCAGAGAGTTACTGTCTAACACAGCGCCTAACACCTGGGCCAGCGTGGCACACAAGCAGTATTCACTGACTGAACAAAGACTGGTTACCAGAAGATGGTATTATTTAGTATTACTAAACGGAAAAATAGTAACAATGACTTAACGAAGTCTAAGGAGTCCTCATCGTTATCCTTATCCATGCCATCTATAAGTTTGTTGCCCCAAGAGACTGGACTGCAGTAGAATGTATCTTATGTGTGTCTCACGGACTAGAATCTAGATGATAAGCCCAGTCCTCTGAGAGCAGAGGGTCCCTGACTCAGTCCCAGCATCTTCTGTCCAGGTGCAACTGTAGGAGCTGGCTTAATGGTGTATCAAAGAAGCCACCTCCATTGGGAAGACCTGTGGAACTGGGAGTCAGATCAGGGAAACTGATGACTTACAGTTCTTTTCCAGCTTGGGTAGTGAAAATCTGATCAGGGTATCTCTTCCTGATCTCTGTTGACATTCAGGCTTGTTGTGGGGGTTTTCCTGTGCATTATGGCATATTTGGCAGCCTTGGCCTTTCCCACTAGGTGACACCACCCATTGTGACAACCAAAAATGTCTCTAGACATTGCCAAATGTCCCCTGGGGGAGGGGGTGAGCATAATATCTTCCCTAGTTGTGAACTACTAGAATAGATGATCAGTAAATGTACAATTACAAGGTCACTTGTGATTGGAACCCACACATCACATAATGATTCACTTTCTAGCTCAATTTTAGAAGATGCGTATTAACATATGACTTTAGGGGGACAGTAGTTTAAGAAGAACACCAGATTGGGCTCTTGCTGGGGAAATAGCAAGACACAGACCTACAGTGTGGCCCGGGATGGGGGTTGGGGAGTAGGGGCTCTGCTCTTCCTCACTGAACTGTGTCTCCATTTCCCCTAAGTCCTGAGTGCTGAGACAGGGTTGGAGTGAAAGTGAAAGTCTGAGAGTGGTGGGGAGGACTCTGTACTGTACTTCCATCTCAAAGAGCTGAGGGGAGCCTTTGGATGGCAGGACAGCCCCAGAGACCACCACCGTGATCCTGGAAGGGTTATGATGCAGTGATGGGAGAACATAAACCTGACCATCCTGCCTCTGACCTAAGGATCTTAGTGGAGAACAGGTGTTGGAAGTAAAAGAAAAGGTAGAGCCAATAGTTTTGACTTGAGGTGGGACTGTAGTTCACTTTTCTTCCTTTGATCTTTATCATCTTCAAGTTCAGTCCAGCAATTTAAACTCTGATAGCCTTCCACAGTGTTCACACACTGTTACACAAATATTTCACTTTTTCACATGTCTGTCCATCAACTGAATTGTCATCACTGGGGGGAAGGTTCAGAGACACAGCATCCTTTCTTCCCAGGGTCTAGCACATCCAGTATTTTGCCTATGAGTGCTCCTTTGAGAGGGTACTGACCATCCAAGGAAAGCCCTCTCTACTCTGTGGTTTGTGAAGACTACTGGGTGAATTTCAAGACCATCTATATTGTATCCAACTGCACACACATCTTATTTTTTCTCAGTTCTCCTAAGCCAAAATAGGAGAGAATAGGGCCTTGTAGGGATATGATTTTGAAGTACACAATGAAAATGACTATGGAGGAAAGGTTGTTTCTAACTTTCCCTTCCTGAAATTTAATATTAAAAAACTATTCAGAAACAAAAATTTATTGTAACCTTCAACTAATAAGTGAATAAGGTCAAGAGTGGGTTTTTCCATTTGGTTTTCTATTTGATACCAATTTAATCATTATTTATCTGACGTGGTATATTTTTGTCTTTTAGAGAATCAAAGTAAAGGAAATAAAAACATTCATTATTTAAACTTTTATAACTAGTTCAATTTATAAATCATAAAACTTTGCATAATATAGGTTATTATTCTTATTAAAAGAAGTCAGATTTGAAAGTATAGTTTTAGATAGATTCATAAATTTAAAGAGATAGAACTGAATATATAAAAAAGTCCTCTGAATTATTTTAAAATAGGCACACAACATGAATAGGTATCTCACAGAATAGAAATGGTACTTGGCCAATAATATCTGAAAATACACTTAATAATCAAAGAGTGAAACTTAGAAGCACAGTGACGTACTTATTCTTACTCACCAAGTTGGTTAGAATGAAAAAGTTTGACAATACCATGTGTTTGTTGTCCAGGATGTGAAGAAATGGCACCTCTCACACACTGAGGATCCAGCCACTTTGGAGGAACCACTTGGCAATGGCTTAGGGAAGCTGATGATGCACAGATCCTATGAAGCAGCAGTTTATCTCCTGAGACTTTCCCTGGAGAAACTCTGTGCATGGGAACAGAATGCGTGTATAGAATTATCATAGCTGCATTGTTTGTAATAACAGGAGGGAGATACCAATAGTACTATGGGAAGATCAACTCCAGCATTCTTACAAGATAGAATGCTGTACAAGAACAAAGTATAATTAACTATAGTAACACACTTAAATAGCAAAAACTTACTATTAGGCAAAAACAGAAGTTAAAGAAGAGAAGAATGAATTCATTTATATTATTTTTAATATACATAAGTATATGTATATTGAAAAACTATTCTAAAAAACAAGGAATTGACATATAAAATTCAGAGTTGTTGCTACTTTTGGAGGGGAAAGGAAAGAGAATGTATTTGGGATCTTCAAAGGTAACTACCCTCAGTATAGGTACATGAGAGTTTATTGTATTATTGGATGTCAGATGAACAAAATATCACACATATAAACAAATCCTCAAAAATCTGTAAGGATTTACAGCACTCGTTAATAGCAGTTAACTATGGGTGAATTCTTTATAGGTGTGATATAGTCACACATAAGTATTATTATTTTTAAGTTCTCTGTAATGAACAAGTATTAACTGTGTCATTAAAGATACTCAAAGCTGAAACATATTCCCAAGTGGTTGACAAGGAATATTGACCCAAGGTCTTAAACTTGGCATATGTTTAAGAAATATATATATTTGGAAATCTAGCAGCCAGCTCCAAAGTCCTGGTCTAACTGAAGATGTTCCACCAAGCTAAGATTCACACTTACTCTTTTGTAGACTTTCTGGACTTCGAGTCCCAGGAAATAGGGTTTTCTTGAAAGAACTACACAACTTCACAGTGGCCAGGCCAACCTGCTTGAGCATATTTTATGCCTCACCTAGACATGAAATGCTGGATACTGGTTGGAAATTCTGAAACCTCTCTGCCCAAGGTGAGCTGATCCATGCATTCTTGGGAGTTTAATCTTGGTGAAATTTCCTTTACAGTTCATTGTCAAAATTACCATGTGCTAATCCAGCCAGCCTGGGTTTTAGACCCATGTGTTTATTTGTTGTGGCCAAAGTTATTATGCTTCCTGAGTAGCTCCCAGTCACTGGTGGCTTAA